GTAAAATATTTTTTTTTTTTATAAAAAACAAAATGTAAAATGTTTTTAGGCAAAAACAAAAAATCTAATAATATCTAATAAAATCCGTAACTTCCATTTATTCCGTAACTTCCATTATAAAAAAATATTTTTAAAGCAAATCATGTGTTTTTTACAAATGTAAAATGTTGTTATGCAAAAAAAAAAAATATCTAATAAAATATTATGGTGATTTGTTTCAATACCTCTATTTGGCGAATATGCGAACTTCACGCAGCATGTGTCACAATGGGTCGTTACGCAGCAGAGAACGTCACTAGCTCACAAGAAGAGTCTACTTTCCTCGACCAATTCCGATCCAAATTCGCAGACGTCAGATTCTTCCTCCGGAACCCTATCCAGGGTCCGCGCNACAAGTACTTCCCTCNCCACAAAGACTTCCTCTCTACTTTNCTCNACCGATTCATGTCCAAATTCTCCGACGTCAGTTTCTTCCTCCGGAACCCTATTCTCTCCAACTTTGTCTACACTCCAACTGATGTTCACACAATCTTCACAAACCCTAATCTCCATTCTCNCATCGTGAAAGGTTTGTCTAAATTTTTTCACTTTATGCAATTGTTTGATATGTGNTANGGTAATTGTAATTAATTTGGTAATTGTTGTGAGAGAGAATAATCTCTCCATCAAATAATGCGGTGCTAAAAATGTCATTGGAAAAGTAAACGTGGAGTAGACTTTTTTCCTGTATACATTAATGTTGTATAAAAAAAGTAAACATGAACCGTGGACGTTATTAGAGTAATTTAGAGGAGAATAATTGAGAGGAATTGAGAAGAAAAGAAAAATCAAATAATAAAATCTGTTTGATCAAAATCCTCTTATATATTATTTTCTTTTTCTGATATATAATAAAAAAAATTAGTTTTATTATTTTAATTAATTAGTTCAAAGTTAAGCCATGTCATTTTTTTGATAAGCCATATCATTTTTTTTGCCAAACCACATCATAGTTTTCAACCAATAAAATTAAAATAAATAAGCAACTCTAATAAATCTACTTCTCTTTTAATAGGAGGGGATTCAAAAAGTTCTAAAAGTTCTAGAAACTTGAATAAACAAGCAATGATAGTCCATAAACCTCTGCTAGTTAGATTTTATATTATTCATTCAATCCTTGGTTTCTTGCATGTCACAAACCTTAAAAAAATTAGCAAAACCCA